CAAAGGAGTCAGTCAGTAAAAGGGAAGTAAAATGCCACATATATTTTACTACGTGTCGTAGTACCAGAGTAGAGTAGTGTTTGATCCGACTGGATAAATGAAGCAAACTGAACTGCGTCTTGGAGTTTATTTTTAGGCTTACAGCTCACAATACTAATGTTAAAGTTTATGTCAGAATTTTAACAGTATCTTTAAAAAAAGTCTTACAGAACAGAACGCTAGCGAGTAACAAAGTTATTCAGAAGATGAGGATTAGTGCATAACATCATATCTACTCATAGCAAAAGTGGTTTTATTTGGTGATTTATCCTGAGCCAGGAGAAATGTCTGAGAGCGGTAGATTAGAGGCCCAACAAACCGGCACCATACTGAAGGATTTAAAAGCTTTGCGGGGAGTCCTGTCTGCCTGTGACAAGACCTGTAATTTAAACACCAAAAATTAAACAAAACGCCCTTGAATGTCAACACCTGATATAAGTGTGTAAAATTCAAATGGTTTCATAATCTTGGGTAAAACACATTTCCAACAAAGAGGCTATTTTGTTGTTTGAAGAAATTTGTTGTCTTCCACTATGTTTGCTTTGACAGAGTTCCTGCACATAAAAGCGTTCACTCCCGTATATCACACTACATTACCATCTAGAATGAACATTTAGTTTTAACCGGGTAACTCAAAAGCCTCTTTTTACTCACCTTGAAGAACAACAAAAAGGCAGATTGTGATTCATCTATGTTTGATACTTTCAGGATTTTTACACTTTTTGGCATTTAGGTTTGGCCTTTTAGAGACTAAATTAATAAATTTCTTTACTTACAATAATAGCAAAGGGTTATGATGTGGTTCGAGTCAGTCACTGGCTCCTTATGGTTTGAAACCACAGTTGTCCAAAAGCATTCTCCAAAACAGAAAAGTGACTTTTTCAGCTGCTCCAGTAATACAGCCTGACTTCTGCAGCCTGCCACACCTCCTTCTCCCTCAGCAGAGAAATTGTCAGCATTCATAATGGAGAGTATTGTTAGTATTTTGGACTTTCTGAAGACCTTTAAAAGACAATATAGCAACAACTTTTTCATTTTGTCGTACATATAACTGAAAGGCAAGTGGTAACAGATGCAATATTTGCCATAAAACAGCTACATCTTGTTCTAATATTTAAGAATGGTATTGAGCAATGTATCTCAAAGTTTTCTGAAGGTAATGCAAAGTTTTTCTCAAAGAATTTCTTTTGTTTCTTCACATATTTTCTGTGCAGCGATTTACCATTTTCAGAGGAATGTTTTTCTGTCTTTTAAAAGGGACTTAACTTTGACCCATGAATCCTTCAGATGTAAAACATTTACAGGTTAAACCAGTGTTGTGTCTATACATAACAGGCAACTTAGCTAAGTTTGAAATCTAATCTTTAGGTACTTTCTTACTGGAACCTGACACAAAGACAGTTTGTTTTCAATTTCTAGGTCAACTCACCCCTTTGCAGCTCCATTTTGAACTCGCATGTTTCCATTTTGGCACTTTCTACAATCATTTAACTCCAAAAAACATAAACATGCCTTTAATTTTATTACATAAATAACATGTTTTCTGTATATTTCTAGGACTTCCATCTCTTTAAAGTTAGCACTTTCTTCAAAATCTTGATTTATTGAGAACATATCTTGAGTTTAATCATTCTGTAATCAAATTAAAAATGAAGTAATTAGTTTAATGGTTCCAAAAATGTGATAAGTTATAAATGCATGTCTTTGGTTCTGATAATTACAAGACTGTAAAAGCCTAATGCATTAATAATGATGACAAAAAGATTGGAAAAAACTAGGTGATGGTTTAAAAAAAATGTTTTTATTTTGTTAAATACATCAAATTAATTTTAAAAATCTGTCTGAAAGTTATTCATTCAAGTGTTAACCTAATTCAAGAACACTGTTAATCTGTTATAAATTATCTTTTTAGGAGCGACGCCTCTTCTTTGGTACACCATTTGCCCCATTTGCTTATTTTTAATGCACAGATTGCATAATATGATGTCATAGCCAGGTATAAAAAAACTGGGCTGAAAATGGTGGAAAGGAAAAGAAAATCTATAGAGAAATCTTCAGAAAGTCTGAAGGACTGTTCATTACCACCTTCACTCATTACACAAAGATCTGGTTTCTAAAACAACAAAAAATGAAGAAATTTGGAGTGATAAGAAAAACGTCCAGAACAGTTGAAGTTGTTTTGCAGGGCTCCTTTTTGGGTTTCCATTCTCCCCACCCCCATCCCAGCTCTGTCTCCCCTGTGGACTGTGGACAGGCGTCTTTGCCCCGAGTATACTCACTGGAGCACAAGGCCCTGCAAGAATGAATCCCATTCAACAGCCTGCCTCCAGATGCTTCCCAAAACAGTCCTCCAGGCTAAAGAGGGGAGCAGAAGTGGGGATAGAGAGCAGGAAAGGGGAGATAGGAATCTGATAGCCTGTCATTAACTGCCCAAATAAAGCAAAGGGGAAAACTCAGGGTAAAACCACGGCCCTCAGACGTGATGTTTATGGGTGGATAGCCTTATTGTTTCGTCTCCTGTGGTGTGTCAAAGATCTGTTTTGGTCACCGGGGAAGGTGTTTGTTGCTACAGATAAACTGCCTAATGTGTAGGATCCACTGTGAATCACACAAAAACCTCACACGAGTCACAGTGTGAGAGTTTCTTCTCAATGTGAACCCAACTCATACCTCATGCATCATCCACCTTCACACAAAGCACTCTTTTACTTTCATTCTTTTTCTTTTTTTTTTTTTTGCTTCTGATCAAGTAGGAAAATAACAGACTTCAATATAAACTGTGCAGAGTGATGACAAAAACCGTGAGGCTACAGAAAAAGAACGGATGCTGCACCCAGGAAACACTCAAATCACCAACACAACCTTGATTTTATATGTGACAGAAGAGAACACATCATTGCAATATTAATATATCAATCACCACCAAGTTATAAAGCAGCTGCACAGAGAACAGCCCCATAAACATGACCCCGTCTATAACTGTGTGTACAGCCTGAGCTGAAGCTCCTTTCTCCTCTCTTGCCCCTGAAATATCTTGAATATAGACTTAAACATTTATACTCCCACTGGTAATGCAGCCAATGTATAAGGGGAGAGGCCAGGGGTGTAAAGTCTTCCAAGATTCAGCCACAGTTCCTATGAATACTATGTAACGTAACATCAGACATTTATTAACAGACCATCCTGGTCAAACATAATTCAGATATAGTTATCTGTTTTTCTAAGGCCTGCTCAAACCAATATTTACACAACTACAGATTAGCAAATAATTAATTTCATATTTCCAGGTTAGGAGTTTAGGAAGAGCTAGAGCATTTGGCTCACTCCGTACAGCTCAAGAATCATAAATTCCAACAAAGGTAATCTGAGGCTGTCTCCAGCATGTTGAAATCACTTAAAACTGTATTTGACAGGAGGAAGCATGTAACACCAGCATTAAACAACTGGTTTTACTGGAAGTAGTAGCACCTATTTATCACGAGTGAACCAAAAGATGGTAATAGCTTCTGTGGTCAAGTCTGACACCTGGTGGTCAGAGCCAGCAAGTGAAATTTGTAAAAGTCACATCTGTAGCGTTTTTGTCTTTAAATAGATCATTTCAATCCACGTGGTCTCCTTTTATCAACTCATTTGTCTATAAATTAATTTAAATTTTCTGAGCCCCAGACAGTTTACTCTGGTGAGAATTTAATTTGTCTCCTAAATGTTAAGAAATTACAAGTTTAACCTTGCAGACTGTGTTCTTGTTCACTTTAAATTCTTATACAGATGTCATATAAGACAAATATGATGTAATTAATATTTGTATTTAAAAATATAGTCAATCCATCACAGAAAGAGACACAAATGTCTGAGTATTAATGTCTGACGTATGCAGAGCCCTGCATAAAGTTTTTGCTGTAACAAAAAAGCAAACATTCATAACTTAATATACATTTGCTACATTACTGTTGCTAAAATCAACTATTTCATGCAGTCATGACAACGAATAACTAATACAAAAATGTTTTCCCATACTAAAGATAAATTAATAATCAATTGCTTCGCAGTCAAATATAATTTAATTTCTTTTCAGGTAATTTTGTTTTTCGAGGGGTTTGTGGCAGTAGTGGTATTTAGTCACTTATCAGACAAGAACTGGGCAGAGAGAGAAGCTGAAGACATACAAAAATGTTCCCAGGTTCAGAGTTTGAACCATAATCAATGACTAACAGCTAGTGAATATGGACGGTTTATTAATCTGATGATCAACTTTTTGTGTAGCAGCAGCTGCAACGTCTCGGACTCTATTCAAAAAGGTGAACCGTTTTTCTGACAGGAACTCTCCCACTTAAAACGGCCCATGATTTGTTTTAAATGTCAGAATGGTTCGTTCATTTTTATTTGTTTGGTATTTTCATCGGGTTGCCTTTTTCATTTAGATTGATGATAATGTTGTTCTTTAGTGTTGCCCAATAATTGTCCACAGATACATATTCTCCTAGGAAAGCCGGAATCTCACTTCTTTTTAAATATTGAAGTATGATGGATTTTGGATTGAATGAGAGCTTTGTAGATTTTCAAAGATTACAACTTAGCCATTCCCCAATATTTGTGCACACTGAAAGGTGTGCACAAATATTCTGCTGGAAATCATTAAATTTGAAACTGGGAAATGTTTAATTTCAAAACATTAATTGTGTTTGTGTAAATGCACAGCAGAAACGATTGAGTGCTCTTCTAATATGTTTTTTTAACTTCACCTGTATTATCAAAATAAATATCAGCAAATGCACTACTTTACCAATGACATATATTACGATATTTTACGGCACCATAAGATTGTAATCTTCACTGTCAAATCCTTTAAACTATACATTACAGACCAACAAATGACCTTTCCATTTCCATTAGAGTCCGATCATTAATCGGTGCTGCACAGGTGTAAACTAAAAGGTCAACTCGAAGCAGTTTAAACTTACATGAGTCTGTGGTGTGAGATGAAGGTTTGATAGTCATCATTTGTCCTCTGGTGAACCTCCTCACTTCTCAACGAACTCTGAAACCATCCAGGAAGAGAAGTTCAATCTGGTGATAGGAAAGGAGGTCCGGTTACGCCCCAAGCACTTCTGTCTACTTAAACCTCGCCTACATAATGAAATTAGAAATAAAAAGTACAAGCTAGTACACGATAAACACTTACTGAGTTGAAAATGTCTGCAGTGTATGAACACCAGCTTCAAATGAATGGTCTTCAAAAATAATCCTGAGAGTCAAAATAGAGAGTCATAATATAGAGAGTCACTTCAACGCTGCTACATGTGTTGTGTGGACTTGGCGTTGGGGGACACTCCAGGAGTGCGACTGGCCCTTATATTATTCTAGTAAATAAAAATATTAACAAAAATCCATGTAAGTTAAATAGAAAAATATTAATTTATGAAGATGAGATTAATTTAGTTTATAAATAGATCTCAAGTATTAATAAGGTTTTCACATATTTTTGGGACATTTTGATTTGTTCCAATTGTTGACTTCCCAAAGGCTGCGCGGTCCAGATTGTTGGTGCAGTGTTTTAGGCAACTATATGTGACTGATTAATTTTTAGATTTTAGCTCCAAATGTTAAATCTCGGGGGTAATTTCATTCTCTCTCACACCTCCAGCTCAGATCCCGCCGGGTAAAGCGGTGAGGATGCCGAGCTGAGAGCGAACCGGAAGTAGGGTGTGTCTTCGTTTCTCTGGTGACTGTCGCTGTACCGTTTCTTTATATCAAAATTATGGAGACTTTCTTACCCGCAGCGGAGGGACTGACTGTATTTTCCGCTTCCTGTCTGTAGCGCTGCGTGCAGCCATACGGTGCTGGGGGCTGCAGAACCATGAACTCATTCAGAACTTGTTTCTGTGGCCAAACCATTTCTGTGTTTGCGGCGGGGCGTGAAGAGGGTCCTTCACTCACAACTGCAAGGATAGTAAAATAAATAAATAAATAAATAAATAAATAAATAAATAAATAAATAAATAAAATTGGGGGCGGGGGGTGTAACTTAAATATCATGACTCCATTTTTCTTTACAAACAGGTCTATTTTGAAAAAAAAAATATATATATATATATATATATATATATATATATATATATATATATATATATATATATATATATATATATATATATTCTTGCATTTTCTTTTTTTGTTTGATCAGTTCTGGGCTCTCTCCCGCCTCACCCCTCCCACAGGCGGCCGTGCTTTAGCAGTCAGTAAAAAGGTCATGTTTTGTCGCACCGCATATTTATTTCACTTTCTTAGCTGCCACATGCATCTTAACGTACATATAATAACCCAGTACACCCATACAGTACACCCTACTTACCTGTAGTCTCCCTCGCAAAGACGTAGAGGCACGTCAAGCACGAGCGTCGTTAATAGTCATCACGTGACCGACCCCGCCCTTTCGATCAAAATAGAAGATGACAATCTTTAAGTAGTTGAAAGGTTGGATGTTTGGTCTGTGTGCTTTGAATTTAAATTATGCCATCTGGGGTTTGGTAAAATAGTTAAATCTGAAATGTTCACTTTTAGGTCAAAACTTAACCTAAAACTGACATATGTGTTAGAGAGACTTGATTGGGTCACTGACACACTCTAATCTAAACCACATTATTGTTGCTCAGGCTGTGAGTTTAGACTCCAGTCTGCCACTAACATGTTTCGTTGTGGTGGTTTGAAGTTTACACGTAGACATAATTTTCCACCACACAGAACCTTTTGTGTATTAGGCAGCTTTGGCCCCATCTTCCTCCCAGAAACATTTTGTCCTCTGCTTTGTGGCTTGCTTTTAATTTACAATGACTGTCTTCTTGATCCTCTTCCCCAAAGGACAAATTTGACAGTCCCAGTTGTCTTGTCAGAACCGGTTTCCACCGGAGCAATAGAATTGCATTTCCTCCCGAGTTACCATGGGTCTCTTGGCTTGTCGTCTGATTAATGCTCAGCTTGACCAGCCTGTCACTGGAGGAGGACAGTCAAGTCTCTCCTTTTTCAGATGGAGGTCTAAAAACCTCTCTCTAATATGTTTAAATCTTTGGGTATTGTTCTATAAATTGCTTTAACATTTATTTTCAACCTTATCCTTGACCAGTCTGGTGTGCTCCTTGGTCTTTATGATGCTGTTTGTTAAGCAATGTTCTCCAAGAAACATCTGACGCCTTCACAGCTTAATGCTTTCTAAGATTAAATTTCACACAGGAGACACAATACTATTTATCTGATATCTGGAAGGAGGTAGAGTCGCTGGATTCTATGTATTGGTGCCAGATTAAAGAGGAGTTAATTACAAATTAACTTTTAAGATCTTTTTCTTTTTTTTATTTTCTTTTTGGGGGGGTAAAACATTCTGTAAACAATGTAACATTTTCCTCCAGCTATGCTTCATGTTGTTTTGGCTTCCATCATAAAACCACAATAAAACTTTGAATACAAAACCATAACTACTTGATCCAAAGTTTCTTCTCCGTAACAAAAGGTGTCTCTCTTAAACTTTGAACATGGTCAGTCTCCTAGCTTTCCAACGTTAAAGAAGTGAGTAATACAGTTTAGGAGTCATGCTCTTGGCGCCAAACACCATAACAACGTCTCCTCACACCTGCTGCAGTCTGAGTAAGAGTGAGGGGGCTCCAACCTGTGACTTCTGAAGAGATTAGACACCGCTGTAGTTCAGATCAGCTGTGATCCAAACCTCTGTAATGAGAGGGAGAGGACCTTTGTGTCACCTGATGGCACCTGATGTCTGTATAAAAACATGGAGCTGGAGCGGCTCGTTGCATCGTGACGGCGCAACTTCAGAGCGTTGTAAAAGGAGCTGCAGGATTGATCTGTGGCTTCACTAACAATCCTCTGCATGTGCACAAGACAATCCGGAGCAACACTTCACTGGAGATAAGGTGCATGTCCCACAGGTAAGTCTGAATATTCCAAGATGAGTTTAAAGGATTGAATTATTGGATTCTCATTTTGTCTTTATGCTCACGTTTTTGTTAGGTGCTCTGAGGATGAAGATAGTGATCTTATGCATTTTACTACTTTCGTTCTGTTCAAGCACTAAGGAGATGGTTCTGAATAAAACAAAACCATACAGGTATTTTTTACAGTTGTTAAACTTTATACACTCTTGAGCAAAAAAAAAAGTGGCCAAAATCGAGACATTAGTCTTTTTTGCTCTGTTTCCTTTTTTGAAAAGCACCTAAGTGTGAATATTGATGTATTTTACTTGCTGTAAATAGATGAAAGAATACATTTCATGTTACCATTTTCTCACATGTGCAGTGCATCTCAGTTGGTATTCCCATCAGAGAAGAACTGGACCAGACATCATCCGGAACTTTAAAAGGCATTCAGATGGGACGTTCACCAGCGACTTCATCAACAACCTGGACAGAATGAAGGCTAAAGATTTTGTGGAGTGGCTGTCCTGCCTCAAACAAGAGAGGTGAGCTTAAAGGTCACCTATGTGAAAAATTGTACTGGGAGGGCATGCAACAAGGATTTGTAATAATTTAAATGGGAGGTACTATGTAATTTCCAGGTATGTAGTCCAATTTTATAGCACAATCACATAACAATGTTACTTTCAGTTTTAAAAATGCTGTCTATATCAAACGTAACATAAATTTGACTTCGACATTGGCCTCTGTTTCTTTAAGAAGCTCCTACTCCTCTTAAGAGTTTGAACTGAAAAGTGGCTCATGCTCAACAGCCTCTCAGCTCCACCAGGCGCCGCTAGTCTGGTGGAGCTGAGAGGGGAAGTGCAGTTCCAAGGAGGAAATAGGCGCCTCTTTGTGGGATCAAGTGTTTAAGTAATCCCGAATGGCTGCCACCAGGCATTCAAGGATTTCTCAAACATGCATGAAATAATTAAAGCAACACGTTTTTGTTGAGGGAATCATTTTATGACATTAAATAATCTCAAATAAGTCACACTTACATAATGCCTCCTGACCACTTTTGAATTGTATTGTAGGTGTAATGAAGGTTTACAGTGATTTACCCATGCATGCATGTTTTGCAGATGTCGTGAGGTTTTGCTCCAAAGTCCAGCAGAAGGATGAGACGATGGCGTTTTGTTTCAGCTAGCAGCACAACAGAAGACTCCTCCTCTAAAGCAGATTAACAATATTAGTGTTTATATATTAGTGATTATTTTATATTTAATGAGGTGTTGTCAAATCAAATAAACATTTTTACATCATGTAATTTTTTAGTTTAAAACACTTTAAGATGATCTGAACTTATGTCAAAGATTTCTCAAAGCTGATCTATGGGTTACGTTATTGTATGTGGCATGATTGGTGAGTGGTTGATGTTGGACCCAAATGCAGAAAGTTGGATGGAGCAAAGTGAATTTGAAAATTTAACGATATAAGAACAAAAACAAAAACATCCATGGGAGCACAGGGAGGAGAGGTGAGGAGAACATGGGGTAGACCGGGGAAGTAACAGAACCTGTCAGGATAAAACCATGAGGAACCAGCAAGGAGTGACTGAGAATGAAGTGCCTAAGTTCTGGAAGCAACACTCCAGGTATGTTTCTGATGAGGGACTAGACACATGAAATAAACATAAATAAGGAACTGATGTAAAAATAGGAACAAGGCAGAACTAATAGAGGGTTAGTGAACACGAATAATGACAAAACCAAAAGCAAACTCAAACAACCCAAGATCCTGACAGTATCATTTGAGAACAAACTTCACTTGCCTAATCCTTGTAAGGATGAAATATTTAAATGAAAATGCAAACTGCTCAGATAGAGACACTGCAGTATTTAGCAGCAATCCTCTAATTTCGTATAGGACTAGCTCTTTTAGCCTTATCACCCCCAAACTTAGTGACCATGATTTCAAAATAATTTATACACATTTTAAATTAGTGCCTGTTGGGAGGGAGACGGGTACAGATATATGAAACTTTATTGCATTATACTGGAATTAGAACTGGACTAAACTGATTTGAATGACTTTAATTAAATTAGGAACAAACTGTGTTTTGCATGATTAGAACATTTGATTTATTTATCCAATGAATGATATGTGTCTTTAATTGGAACCATAATTTAAAAATAAAGTCATTTACTTACATAATTTAGATTGATGTCCTTCAGAATTAAACAGATTGAGATTTCCTACAGGTTGTACTCATTGATTTCTAATGAGGGAAAAAACAGATTAAAAGTCGATGTGTAATACGTAATATTGACCACATGTGGGCGCTGTTGTTTCGAAAATTGCGCAACTCACCCCGGTTCGTTTGGGAAAAACGTTTAGCAGGAGAAGTAGTGCATTTTTGCAAAGAAAAATAGTTAGATTTTCCTTTTGCAGCGCAGACAGCACACAGCCTGCGCTTTGTCCACATAAATTTGCATTGTTGCACAATAATCTTATGTAATAAACGATGCCAACATCGAGTGAAGAGGGGGTTGGTGGATTTTAGGTTGGTGGAAGAAAAACAGTGGGCTGCATTTCATGGCGAATGTGTAGGTTTTCACGCAGCCTGGATCTAAATATTAGGAATGTATGCGGGGTGTGCCTGGCTCCTCACTGAGGGAGGATTTTTGTTCAAAGCAGGCAGGGATTGTGGCTTCTGGAGACCACTCTTCTGTCTGACTCCTGGGGGTGAAAAAAAACGAGAAGAAGGAAAGAGGAATAGAGCTAATATGAGCTAAGCACACACACACGCACACACACACAATCACCTGATCTCAGTCATGGACTGATATGGGATTAGATTGCAGGAAAACCCCCTTCATTCACTATTCAGATTCTCTGTGTGTGTGAGAATACATTAAACAGTAGGACTGCAGAAAAACAGGACGGAGGAACAGAAGCGCTATAACGACATAAAAATTACCCAAAGGTATCAATGGTTCCCATGGGGAGT